GTAACCTAATCCTAGGCCCAATAGGCCTAGGGTTTAATTCTAACTCGTCAAGTGTCCCTAGCAAGCCATATTCTCGAGACTCGCCGAGAAGAATATGAGTTGCTACGATTGTTGATGTCTTCTCGACTTTCGTAGTGTTGTCCCAGTTCTCGAACTCTTTCGTTCTCGGGTGTCACCTATCTATAGTACTTAATTAAAGCAGTAAACAAAAAGGACATGTGTCAGCACTACAATGAAAATTTTCCCGCCAAAAGTCATTTTCAGTACAAAATCATTTTTGACAAGTGGCGCTCTAACTAATCAGAAAAAAAGATGGAATAGATAAATACATAAATCCCTTAATTATAGCTACATAAAAATCTCTTAATTATAGGTATATACTAATCTTTTAAAACAACAATATTTGATTAATAAAATCAAATGTAAGGAAATCCCCTTAAATCAAGTGAAACACAATAATGTCTTCCCAATCCCCAATTTCAAAGAATCTCTTCCATTCCGCTCCTGTCTCACACCCGGGCCTTTAAATCAATTACTTAAAATCTGACACCAATTATCAATCCATCTCTTTCTACAACAGAGAAAAAATAAGCTGTCATGAAAGAAATTTAATTTTTTAAGGATGATTTTTTTTATTCTTTTGTTGTAGATATTGGTTTATGATTTATGTAAACCCGAGCATAAGTTAACTGTTGTAAATTAAACTTATAAATCTGGGCATAGATTTATGTATAATAACTCACTTTCTGTCCTTTCAATCGATTTTTTATTCTTCTATTCTTTTTATTCTTTTAAGAATGATTCGTATTTTTTATTTAATCGATTTAAAAATACAGGCGGCACCCCGGGTATTCGCCCGGGGCAAGCATCTAGTATAAGATAAAGAGAATAAAGTGCCTCGAGGAGGTCTTATTGTTAGAGAGTTCCTTGTTTGTGCGGTAGACAGCGAATATCCTTGTTTGCACGGTGGATCGCGAGTATCCTCGTTTGTGCGGTAGACCGTGAGTGTGTAGATCATTGAGATCCAATACAAGATAATAATAACATATGATCCCTCAAATTCCTCACCCCAAGGGTATGCCCCCCGTTTGTGCCCCCGAGTACGTTGTTCTCGTTAAAGGGTGATAGGGTTTTACCGCGAGAGGTTTGGTAATTTGAAGAACTCTTTTAATCGTGCTCAAAAATATATCGTGAGATGATAGTAATATGATAATGATATCAGCAGTAGATTGATTTAGATTCGAGAAATATATTAAAAAAAAGCTTGAGAAGTACCTCAGTCTTGAGGTAAATTGATTACTCGAGAAGGTTTTACCTCGATTCCGAGAAGGTATTATGAAAGTCGAGATACGTCTTCTCGAACACTTCGAGTAATAGAGTATTGCTCGAGGGATGCTTGCCCATTCGAGGAGATGTATCTCTCGAAACTTCAATCCTCGAAACTGCCCCTTGCTTCGAAAGACTTGAGAGCTTATCTGTAAAATTAGAAAAGTATTAAGGTTAATAAACCATAAGATAAAAAGTATAGGGGCTGAATTTTAAATTTTCTAGTTGATCCTCTGCCCCTTGTCGGCTTATTCGTCGGGTTGTTTAGGTCAGCATGGAAGTCGACAGCAGTATCGTCGGCCTCTTCGTCGGCTAGAGTAACTTGACAAGGAAGTCGACAAAATTATCGTCGATCTGATCGTCGATTGGAGGAGGTTGACGTCGAAGTCGACGGTTGGCAGCTTTACAAAAATTTTCTAATTCTTGATCTTTGCTTTCAGGTCCAAATTGAGACACCATGAAGAACCAACAAATTCGGCTTATTTTCAAGAAATTTATTTGGTTGTGAAGACCAAACAAATCGGTCCCGCCGGACGTGCCACTTGACGAAGCATGGATCTGCATGGTACCTTAAGATGGGCGGGATGGTGATCTAGGCGGTGGCGGAGCCTAAAACTTACAAGACAGAGCCTCGGGTGTCTCCCGAGGGTAGACTCTCTGATACTTAAATCAATAAGAGAATAAAGAGAGTAGAGAGAGAAGGATGTGTATCGTGTGTAGAAGGTGTTGAATATAGGTAGAAGATAATGCTACCTGTTTCTTTAAACCTAATCGTAATAGGCTTAGACGGTGGTTTAATTTCTAAGTAACCTAATCCTAGGCCCAATAAACCTATGGTTTAATTCTGACTCGTTAGATTTGTATTTTTATACAAATGAGCCTTTCTCCTTTATGACCATATCAATAATCTCTTTAATTTTTTTTTCTTATTTTATCCAAAGAAAATTTAATTTCATCAAATAATAACGTATATTATCAAGAAAAAAAGAGAGGCTGCACAAGCATTCAGTGGAACAAGCATCTAGTTTCTAGTTATTAAACTAAACTACTTCAACAGTTTCTTTCTTAGAGCTTCTAGTGATAAGCTTATTACCAAGACTTTAAACGTGTATCTCTTACTTGTTATTCTAGTCTTCCAAAATCCAAATGCTAGTCTTACAGCCTCGTCTAAAATCCTTTTCGTACATGCTTCTGAATTTTGACATTGGTTTCAAATAAAACACCAAACTTATTTTTATATTTCAACCTTTGGGGGCAGATCAAGGGTAGATTAGACCAGAGATGTGAAGTGAGATTCCGACAGTCAGACTGACATAGTAATATAGTCAAGGTGTTTACTTAAAAAATCATTGGCCAAATCATGTCCCTATAAACAAATAAAATCGTCAATGTAAGATGATGATGGTGGTGGTGATGGTAAAAAAAAAGACAATGTAAAAATTGAAGGAGGCTGAATCCACTGCAAATGTCCTCACTGTAAATCGTATAGACTCCAAGAGAGAGTAACAAGACATTCCATCGAACTACGAGCTGAGAGCTCCATTGCCTTTTCCTTTTTCTTTCTTTTTCATGTTTTTTTCTTCCCTTTTTTTTTTTTTTTTGGCTTTAATCCACCGAACATGTTGGGATGTTTTCATTGCCTACTTTTGACTTTTTAAGTTTTTACCTTTCGATCTTAGAGCTTTGCATTTTTATTTTTCTTTTCATATGGCATCTAATTGCATTATAATTATATATCAACCGACACGGCGACAATATCTTTTTTTTCTTCTTTTTTTTTTTTTTTTTTTGACTCAAAAGCAAATTAAAATCGTAACGTGATCCTAATAAACCTAAGACGTGCCACGATTCTCTCTGTTTGTTTACTTCCATGTGAAAATGGAGCCAAAAAAAAAATATATCATTTTCCATGAAAGGGATCATTACTAGGTTTCATGTTCTTTTCGGTGTATGTCATTTTATATCAACAATTCGAGTGCTATTTATCGAATTAAAATGACTCTTTTGTTGGGACGGAAAGAATTCTCGACTTCTGATAAGTAGCTTTCTCGAATGACAGAAATGGAATTTCATTAACAGCATACACACAATTAATGTATCCTTTTTCCAAGACTTGGAAATACTGCGTACTACTACTACTACTACTACTACTACTACTACATGAATGAAGAATAAATGCAGTCAGAGTATAGTAATGAAGATTGAAACTGAAAGCGTTTTATAGCTGAGTACCAAAGTCACTCCCGGCTTTTAAGAATCTCTTACAAAACTTGTGAATGGAAGTGAAACGTATCATACCACATTTATTATGGTCATTTAGCATTAAAAGATTAGGAAAAAGACTTGTGAATATAAAAGGCCCAATTCAATGGAAAGGTAAAAACTAAAAACAATGAAAAATGAAACATCAGGGCTGTTATTTACATATCCTAAATTAACCAAAATGATATAGTAGATACTTGTAATAATATTTCACATTTTTCATAGAGATTTCTCCAAATTTATCTCCCCTCACCATTTGATTTTTTGACTATAAAATGAATGTATCCCCCCCACAATTAATAAGAAAAGTGTGTGTCAAAGGATGAGAGAAAACCTAGGGAATTTTGTGGGTTTTTTTTTTTTCCTTTCCCTATACCCACCCACATTCTGCTGCAATTCAAGTGTTTTTCAGACATAATTTATCTTCACCAAAGATACAAGAGAATGGAAGACAGGAGCAATAATCTTCAAGCTTTGAAGTCTTCAAACCTTATGCTATACCAAGAATATTGCAACAACTTCACAAGCTTCCCTGCAGGGAAAAAAATTCAGTATCAGTTTGACTATGATAAAGAGGGATTAGTTAATACAGTATTAAGATGACAATAAACACTCTGCTATATGAATAAAAACAATTGAGGAAAATAAAAGAAAAAGAGAAGGATTAATTTGACCAAACTTTTAACCTAATGAAAAAAGAACAAGAAAACAGAATCAAGAGCTGGATATGTCAACTCAATCCAATACACAATTATTTTTCCTTTTTTGGGTGGACAATCCACTACGTGCTGTTTTTTTGTTTTAATTAATGACAAAGCACTAAGCAACAACAAATATGTCAATATACTTCCCCCATGCTTAACTAACTTGCAATCATTGCCACTCAGCAACAAACAAAATCCTATGTTCTCTTTAGTATTTACCAACAAAAAGACATCATCAAACAAATGTTGTTGTCCACATTCCACATGATGCGACAGAGCAAGTATAGCACAAGGAGTCTGCCAAAGAATAGCAGTAGTTCATGTAGGGAAATTGGAGCTCATTCATACCCCTTAAGTAGACTCCTTACCAAACTCATCCCTAAATTAAGCTGAACCAGCTTGAGGTTCATAGAACATATGGTAGCAATGATCAAAAGAAATGATTTTGAGGTAAATTCAATTAATCTTTATGTACACAAACTGCCAATAACCTAATTGGCAGTGAACAAAGGGCCAAAGCAGAGGTGGAGTACTAGTTCACAGAAGGCATTAACTAAGAAAAACCATTGTCAAAAGCTTAATTGATTGAACTCAACTCCAATTCTTACTGATTTGAATTTGTGCAATGCAACAAGTATGAAACAAACAAGTAATATAACTAAGAAACAGAACAAAGCGGAGGAAAATAAAGGACCTTGGTGAGTGAGTTCAATAGAGTCGCAATACACTTCTTGCAATTGAATGAGCGCCATTTGGCCTTATTTTCGCAGCCGGAACAACACCACCACCACCGCCAACGCCTCTGCGGCTGCCCCTGAGGGGTGTCAAGTAAAACCGGAGGAGGCCGTTATCCACGTCGTTCGGCGAATACCTCGCACTCCGGTTTCTCTCCAGGACGAACTCATCCCTTCTCTTCTTCCCATTCACATTACCATTAGTCATTTCCACTCCAAATTTCCTCACACTTCCACCACCAAATGATCCCGCACCCCCAATGTAATTCGAATTCCTCCAGCTCACACTACTATTACTCCGGAAAACCTTCCTGTTGAACCCTTCCTTTCCATCACCATTAGCCCAAGACTCCGAAAGTGACCTTTCCACCCCATTAACCTTACTGTATCGATCATCATCGTCATCCTTGTTGCCGCCGCGGCGTTGTATAAACCCCCAAATTTTCCAGCTCCACCTCCTTGACTTCTTTGGTCCCTTTCTTTCGCCATTTCCAACCACCGAAGCATTAAGCTCGAATGTCTCCGAACAGTCATCCCTTAAAGAATTCGAATTTGCATCCCTTTCCCTGCAGGACTCCTTGGCACCATTATTAACACCATTAACGTAATCCATTGTTGTTGTAGCAGGCAAAACTTTGGCATTGGAAGAGACTGCTTTCATTTCATCAATCTCCGCCACCACAGCAGCTGCCGTTTTCCGGATGGAATTGGACCTGTCAAGACTCTTCCTCCTCCTGGAACTCGAATCGGAGTAATACTCCTTAGTCTGAGCGGACCCACCAGGCACACGGTCATCTTCATTGGGTTCTTCCACCGGAATTTGACCGTCGGCGCGGGGAACGTGTACTACCGGAGCATCTTCAACAACAGAGACCATAGGTGGCATCATTCTGGGATAATTTCCCCTATTTCCAATCAAGTATCCATCCCAAGAAGCTCGAGGCTCATCAAAAGAGTATCTTCCGTCATCGAAACTGATTCTTCCGGCATCTAGAGAGAACCTCGGATCAGTATCACAAGAACGCCTTCCGAACCCGTAATCGGCAATTTCTGATTGGGTTTCCCTGTACTGCCTGGAAATAGGCTTCTCTACAGGCAATGTAGCTGATAATTCCCCATTGCTCCGCTTCTTGAGCTTCTGTTTTCGCCTCCAGTTGTGCCATTTCTTGCTGAAAACCGAGGCCGCCGACCAGAAACTCCCAGCAATTTCCTTCAGGTCCCTTCCCCCGCCGGTAGCCGGAGCCTTCTTAGATTGTGAATCAAGATCTATATGGTCCTTCATAGGCTTCATTGCGCCGAAATCGAACACCTCCTCTTCTTCTACTATCTCCAGATTAATGTCCCCTCTTTCTACAACAATTTCTCCCGGAGCTTCTTGAACTCTTAAAGCCACAGGGGTAATATCATCATCCCTGCCACCGCTGCTACCATTGTTACTGCCTTCACTTCCTCCAATTTCAGGCTCCTCTTCTTCATCATCATCTTCTTCCTCTTTGGACTCAAAAACGGGTTTATGAAGGTAAGTCTCGGTTGAGTCTTTAGGAATGGAAGAAGAGGAAGGTCTACTACTGGAGCAGGTGGGTTTAGACTCGTCGTCGATGGTGAAGAGGGACCAGAGTGTGTTACGGACCCGGACGTCACAGGACTTCCGCTGAGGTTCGAAAGCTCCGGAGAAATTTAAGCCTAAACCCTCGTGCTTGGAGGCGGAGAATGACTTAGTCCGGCGGAGCTCCGGGAAGAAAGAGGTTTGCTTTGAGGAGGAGGGCTTTGGGGGTGGTGGGTTGCTGCTATTGCCGGCGGTGGTGGTGAAAGAAGAGGTAGAAGGCCTGGAGGAAGAAGAGAAGAGGGATTTAATGGCTGCGGCGGCGGAGGCGGAGGAGGTGGAGGGCCGGCGAGAGGAGGAGGAGGGATTTGAAGAGGACTGGTCGAGAGTGGTGAGTCGCTCGCAGAGGCATGAGGGACAGAAGCCGGAAAATTTCTCTTCAGGGTGGCGGTCACAGCTGAAAGAGGACCGGGGCGGCTGAGGCGGAGGCGGAGGCGGCGGTGCTGGGTCGGCCGCAGTGGGATTCATACCCGGCGTTGGAAACAGAGTCGCGCAATGCCGCCCACTTTTGTAGTTCTGCTCATATTACATTCATCAGAAAGGAAAAAGGACACAAAGAGCAGTACGTCGTCGTTTCAGGAGCTGGAAATCGTGTGTGAATCAATGCAAGTGAACCGTTATGGTTTTTTTTTTTGGTTTAGTGTGTGTTTTTGCGTGTTCTAAGGGATGAACCAGAGAAAGAGAGAGAGTCAATGAAGAAGAAGAAGGAGAAGAAGAAGAAGGAGAAGAAGAGAGAAAGTGTAAATGAGGGAAAGCCAATTAACCATTAAATTATAAGCGGGGAAATCTCACTTGTTTTTACTTTTCCGTTGGACGCTTTTTTTTTTTCCTTCCGCTACGGACAGGCTGTGTTGAATGGACTCTTTTAGCCTTTTGGTTTAATCGATGCACCAAAAAAAAAAAAAAAGCAAAACCACTTCTCTACTTCCTTTACTACTACTAGTACTGTTTTTTCTCTCTCTCATTTCATTTATTAATTTCTTTTGTGTCAATTTTTGCGGCCTGTTTGGGTGCTGTTTCTCGGACAATGCTACCTACGAATTGATTTGGTTTTGTAGATTTTTGTTAATTGTGTTTTGCCGGATTGAGTAATCTATCTATTTATTTGACCCTAGGACCAACAAAAAAAACCAAATGGAAAGCAGTTTAAACACAAATTCCTCCAATTACTGGCTTTTTTTGTAATGATTTGTTTCTTCTTGATTGTCTTGATCTTATATACTTATCAGCAAGCATAGTGTTAGGGCTTATCTTTTTAAATCCAACCCATGAGAATTTATAATGCATTTGCCATTGACTTTTACCTTTTCAAGTCAAAATTCTCATTTTTTGGATTTTTTTTTTTAAAAAATGGTTGTTCTTGCTACTCCCTCCGTCCCATAATTATTGTCCAATTTAGATTTTCATTTCTAGTTTAAATTGTACTCTCTCCGTCCCATAATTATTGTCCAGTTTGAGTTTTCATTTTTAGTTCAAATTGTACTAAAAGTGAGAACTCAAACTGGACAATAATTTTGGGACAGAGGGAGTACTAAAAATGAAATCTCAAACTGGACAATAATTTTGGAACTGAGAGAGTATTTGCATTTTGTACCAATGAGAACAAACAAATTCGAACTGCTATGCACTAACAAATAACGTCAAAATTTAAGTTGGGCACCAAAATAATGAAAAAATGGATGCATGTGACGTTTAATGAGTATTAATTACACTACAAAAAGGCTTTTTAAGCACGGTGGGGTGAGGAAATGACAATGGATAGAAAGAAAGGAACCATGCAAATGTAAATAGAATATCATTATTGTTAATTAATCAGGAAGATACCATAATATAATTTAGGCTTTTCTTTTTTCCCTTTATCTTCCTTATACATTTGAGGGGAGTGCTCAAATCAAAAGTGACCTTTTTTTTTCCTACTGTAATTTTGTTAGAAAGTCATGCATGTATTTTATAAAAACACTTTTCTTTTTTCTGTGAGAGAAATAAGCTTTCGATTTTCAAAGATTCCTGTCGAGAGAGAGGAAAAAAAAAGCTTTAAAAAAAAAAAAAAGTAAATCACGCCATCACTAATAAGATTGAGGGAAGGAACTCCTCCGATCTGCTTTCTTTTCTTTTCTTTTCTTTCTGTCTCCCTTCTCTCTCAAAATCGCAATCTCATTTCGCTTTCTCTGTTCGCTTTCTTTTTCTTTTTTGGCCTGTGGCCCTTTCATTTCCTTTTTGTTTTTGCGTCTTTCTTTCTCTTTTTTTGGTCTCTTTTGTTATTTTCATCACCCAAGAATTTTTTTCTTTTTTTTAAAAAAATAAAACTTATGAGTTCCAATGTTTCCATTATTCCTGGGTTTTTTTTTTTTTTTCAATTTTCAGCTTTCACATTGGATTTTCTATATCATTTTGTGGGTTGGTGATGCAGTCATGCTTCCTTCCTTCCTTCCACCTGGGCTGTTTGTCCTTCACGATTGTGGCTCCCCTGGGGGAACACAATTTTGCGTCACTGACCTTAAATATTCCTCTGCCTTTATCTTTGTCTTAAACTATTTCCACTTTTTTTTTTAATTGCTCGGCTCATTTAGCTTAAAATTGATTTGGAAAATGTCATTTTGTGACAACTTTGGCCATTCACACAAACCATTCACAGCTCAATTCGCTAATACAAAACACGATATCATTTTTGTCACTGGTTACGAGGGCAACGAATGATTAATAATACCATACTATTTGACAGTGATTGATCAAATTATATAACTTTAGTTATGTGGGATTAATGATTTCTTATAGCTAGTGTAACAATATATGATAACTTATTAAGATCACAAACAGGGTTGATATTATTAGAGCATATCGTATCCGATTAACGGCTCCCAAATCTAATCTAATGAATGTTAATTTGTAATTAGTACACATTTGAGGAGGGTATTCTTTTTGGAAGTGCAGGGGGTATAACTGGTGCAGACAAGCTAGCTTTAAACTTTTCTTCAACTTATGGTAAAGTGAAAGAGGAGAGGAAATTGATGAAATGATCACCGGTAACGGTAAATACGAAGTGCTTTTGGGGGTCGAATAATTGGATGGGACCAAGTAAAAACTTTAGGGGGGGAAAAACAACATTGATCTTCTTCTTCTTCATGTCAAGTTGCTGGAAAAGGTTTGGTAAAAAACACAAAAGATGAATGGAAAAAAGAAAAGGGTTTTAAGAAGAGACTAAATATATGATGACTTGGGAGGCTTTTAGTTTGTAGTTTAATTTGGCTTTGTTGTTGGGTGTGGAGCAAATGGTTTAGTCTGATGTTTCTGACTGATCTGTAATGGTAAAATAAAGCAACTAAAAGAAAAAAAAAAAAAAAAAAAAAAGAACAATTTGAAAGACACAAAAAGGCATTCAAAATTTCAAAAGGAAACAAAATGCAGATAACTAGATAAAGAGATATGGGGTTTAGAGAGTTAATAAAAGTCCAAATTTTGTCTACCCTTCTGTGTAGAAAATGAAGTGACCATGTTTTCTAAGTCCAGCCATTCACGAATAAAACAAGCATAAACTTCTCCAAAGCGTGCATTGCCTTGTCACTTGGCCTGGCCCCCTTCATGGAGAAAAACAATCCAAGAAAATGTGACAATATGTAATGCATGAATTTCCTTGTTTTATACTACCTAACTACCAAAACTCTGTAATTTCAGATAAATTCTCTTACCTAGACTTAAAATATTAGGAGATCCACCATCAAAATTCAAGTAATGCTGGTTGTAATACGATTTTCCTATGAATGTGAATGTATATAGTTCTAAACTTGCCCATATGGAATATTATTACATAGATCACTTTAGTGATTGCCCCCATTGTGAAAAAAACAAACATAATAATGCAAAAAAATTTTGTGGCAAATAATGAAAGTTACTATTACTATGCAAGAAATGGACAGCTCCTAGAAGTTCTTCGGGTGAAAGTAATGACTGCCCAAAAAAGAGCACAGACATATACACTAGGGGGAAAGGGAAAAAAGAAATGCTCAACTTTGGTTACATCACAATTTCACATATAACTTTACAGGTTGCAGCCTAAAAGATCACCAGTAGGCGTAGTAGTAGTAGTAGTAGTATATTATTAGCTGGCTGATGATGATCATGGATCGGAAAAAGGGCTTTCATAGATTGCATTCAATAGATTCCCATAATCTGTTTGATAAATACTTATGAACCCTTTCCTTTAATAAAATTTCATTCCTTTCTCGTGAGTGAGTTCAAACCCGAGGGGTGGGGGAGTGGGTAGTCCGTACTAAATACGGTAGTAGTATTTTCTAGTATATTTATTTATTTTAATTTGAGGGGCAGTTGTGGATGTTGTTGTATAAGCCGTGGGAAGATGTGAGTTTCAGAGACAGTGATTGCTACATGAGTGCCACTCGTGCTAACTACGTATGATTTACGCTATCAAAAAACTATCAACTTCTCACTGTGTCACTGTGTGTGTGTGTGTGTGTGTTTTTTTTGTTTTGCATGCGTGCGTACGTGGGCACCCATGGTCTAGTCTTTCATACATCTATTCTATTATTTGTATAGAAAAACAACTGATTAGGGGATCTGCGAGGAATTATATCCTAGTATCAATTTGTTAATTTCTGATTTTTTTTTATACAATAATGACATGTGTCATCAACAAATTTTTTATTTTTTATTTTTTGATGATACTCATCAATAATTTCAATTTACACAAGTGTGACATTAGCATGACAATAATATTATGCAAAACCAGAAATGTAACATGATATTCCTTTTTGTTTCCAAGGTATAAGTATAACATTCATTTGTGGAGAGTAATTAAATCAAGATTTATCAAGGACAGTCAATTAGTAAATATATGATAATATCAATAATGTTGATTATTCAGTGAACTACATTTTGATAATCAAACCATGTTGGTTTGCAGAGTACTCCTTATTCTTCTCCGACTGTAATTTGTGAGGGAAATAAGGCAATCGAGGGGGCAGCTACCCAGCCGGCCTGAGGCCTGTGTGAACTGAGAAATGGAAGTGTAAGGACTTTTAACTGATCGAACACGCCGTCAATTCACGGATTAGGCAAAGCCGCCGCCGGCCTTTTTGCCGGCCGACCCTCTCTCACGCCGAAACGCTAGTCTTCCCAGCCAAAAGGGGCCCCACATTCTTTCGGTTAAAAGTCACGCTGGGCCATTAACTTGCTCTTTTATTCACATGGCAATACAGCACCCAAGCAAGAGCAGAAAATCAAATATAAAGGCCAAAAAGAAAACGAGACCAATGAAAAGAAATTAATTTTACCCCCTAAAAAGAAAAAAAAGAGTAAAAAGAAAACGATATTGTAACAGGCTAATGGAGAGCTGCAGTAATAGCAGTATATAATAAAGAGAGAGATATTGCTTGCTACAAACACACACAGTCACACAGTAGAAAGCACAGAATTGCCTCTCTTTTGCTCCGTTTTCTTTATGAACTGGTGCT